CCACTGCCACAGGGGCTGCCGCCTACGCCGTCGCCGGTGACTCACGGCAGCCCAGCTCCAGGTTGAGCTGTTGTTCAGCATCTTAGCTGTGGCGGGCAGTGTCACTTGCCCTCATATGTGGGATCCGAACCGGGGCCCTCTGTTAACCAACGCGCCACTCGGCTGGCCCCAAGGGACTCGTGTCTTTGGGCGTCCGTGTGTGGGAGGGTCTGTGCATATGGTGGGGTTCTTGTATACGGGGACCCTCCCTACCTGTGCCTCCAATCGCATGGAGCCAGCAGTTAATTTGCACTAATGCACGAAGTAGCCGGTGATGTAGCCCAGGATGAAGATGGCCCAGAAGACGGCCATGCCCACTAGCGCCTTCATGGCGAGGCCCAGCTTGCCGGAGCGCAGCTTCTGGGAGAACCTAGGGTGACAGCTGCCGGCAAGTGAGCCCAGGCTCGGCAGGCCCAAGGGGCCTAGGAGGCTGTGCTGGGGGAGGAGGACTTCTGAGGTGTGCCCAGCAGGGGTCCTCTGAAGGAAGTGGCCAGGGCACCCTGCTGAGCTTGGGAGACAGGAGGACTCAGAGCCAGGACCCACCTGGAGGTGTTGGGCTCAGGCAGGCAGGACGGGAGGGGGGCGTGGGGCCTGATGGGCCCAGGCCCAGCAGGGCTGCTCTTCCCGGACCCTCACCTCTCCCAGCTCGAGGCCTCTTCTGTGCTGGACACAGCCGCCACTTTGACTTCATCCCGGCTGCTGTCATCCCACCGGCTGTACTGGACGCCACTGTCCTGCAGCCGCATGCTGGGGGCTGGGGGCTGGGGACTGCAGCGCGCGGGCGGGGAGACGGAGGCAGGCGTTGAGGACTGACTTCGCTGTAGAGCAAGGCCCTGGGAAGGAGAGTGAGCAGGGGTAAGGGGGGTGCTTTCAGGGTGAAGGTCTGCCTGGGAGCTGAGGACGCAGGAAGGTGGGCTGGCTCCTTCCCGCGCGTCCTCCCGTCTGCCTTCCGAGGGGCCCCGAAGCAGAGTGGTTAAGGGACACAGGAGAGGCCAAGCTTGGGAATCCAACCTGGGGAGGCCACAAGTCTATGTGAGCGGCTGAGTGTCCACCCCGCCCTCCCTGGGGACACCCAGCTGTGCTAGGACAGCATGGGTCCTCGGTGGGAGCCAGGCCACAGGGCCTGATAACTGCCTTTCTCCTTCCCCATTCCAGACAGATAAGGCCCCAGGGCCATCTCTGGAGGTTGGGAAGGAAAGGGACGAGGCGGAGGCTGGTGCGGCTGGCCTGTCCGGTTGTGGGAGGAGGCCTGGCAGCAGCTGTGCCCGCTGGCCTGTTAGCCTTGCAGTCCCCCCTCCCCACCGCCTGTGGGAGAAGCCAGGGCTTGGGGGGCACCTGGGCCTGCTGGGGGTCCAAGAGCTGGGGAGGCGGGGAGCAGCAGGCCCCTCATTTCTCGGGGCTTTGACTTGGCTCAGCCCCCACCGGCCTCGGAAACACTGACCTTGATCCCGGGTGATCTTGGTCACAGAGGCTTAAAGTCACAGTGGGCCACTTAGCTGCTACAAGCCCACCCAGAAAGTCAGAAAGCCAGGCAGGTGTTACCTGCTGCCACGCCTCATGTTCGCCCTTCCCGAACCCCAGGCCAGCGGGGAGGAAGGATGGTGCCTGTCCCTGGGCCACAAAGCCTGTCATCGGTGGGGGCACTGGCTCAGAGGCAGCTGCTTGGGCCTGAGGAAGGTCAAGCATTTGCAGAGTGTGGGCTCGCCTTCCCCAGGGTGTGTCCCAGAGAGGGGCCGTGGGTCATCTCTGTGAGCTACCTGCCTTGCGCCCACCGCTTCCCTCCTGTGGGCAGAATCTTTGTCTTGTTCCAGGTAACAAGTTGCCTGCCCTAAGTGACAGCCACGGGCTAACGCAAGCTTAATCCCCTGACCCCTGCTTTCCTGTGTCACCCAGATGTGCGCAAGGCACAGGGAGGTGCAGCTGGGGTGGTGGAGGGTGGGCACTTTTGCTTTTCATGAGACAAACAGCAGCCACCTCCTTCCTGCGTTGATGTGATGGCTGGAGCTGCAGCAGCTACCTTGCAACCGCAGCCCTGATGGTGCAGTCTCTGAGTGCACGCCAGCAACCCACCAGGGAGGTCCTGGTGGAAGGGCAGTCAATCCTGCTCTATTCCGGCTGGGGACAGTGGGTGGGCTGCTGGGTGGGCTCCGGTCACTGCAGCGGAAGGTGTTCCCAGCAGATGCACACTGTGGCTCAGAGTTGTCCTGCTTGGACAAAGCCACCAGAAGCTGGCGAGGGACGAGAACTGGGCTCCTGAGGGCTTCACTCACTTGCTCAGTAACCTTCCGTCCAACCTCCCCCACGATGGTCGCACAGGGTCCCACAAGCCTGGGCGGAGCTGCCTGGCAGGGCGGCCTGCCAGGCCCTGGGCGCCTCGAGTACCACCCACCACCTCCTGGCAGCTTGTGAGGATGCCAGCTGCACAGATCTGAGACCCCCTCACCCCCAAAGCGCCTCTGAGGAGCCCACCATTTACAAAAGGAGAGTCTTGGGGCGGGGGAGTGAAGCCTCCGTGGCCCAGGAAGATGCTCAGAGCCTGGCCAGTGGGTCTCACCTCCTCCCAGCCCGCTGCGGATGCCCCCAACCTTAAAAAAAGAAAAGGTGAAAAGAATTGGCCTTGTCGGGGGTCGAAGGGAACGGGCCATGGAGTGTCCCAGGCGGCCCGCATCTGGCCGCTCCTCGGCG